TTCTCTTGATGTCATGTGGTGCAAACGATGTAAAAGACTTACGTTACATTTGAATACAATAATTAACAAACTTATCACATATATGTTCCTTAATTATGTCCACAACTTTTATTTAGAACATTTCAACCGTACATTTCATCTATTTTTATCAAATTTACTAAAAATTGAATTTTTATCAAAACCAATTCAGGGTTTTTTCAGGACTAATTCAACTAGGAAGAAAAGCTAAGCCATGTCATGAATTGGACCAACTAATGCCTACAAATAAATTCATTCATCTAACTGGACACTGATTATTTGAGAAGAAACAATCAACTCGTCCATTAGAATCTGTATAAATGAGTGGACTACTCTGCTTTCCTTCTGAGTTGATCTCCAGCTGAACCACGTTAGAAACCGTTTTATGAATTCCTTCTTAATATGGCCCTTGCACTCCAGCCAACTAGTGATTTTAAGACAGTATTCAGAATTCTCACCCAAGTTTCTGGCCACATGTTGATGCATTTCTCTTATAGTCACCAAAATTTTGCATCTCCACTTTGGTGTTATGTTTACTCTCAGCCATGCTTCAACTGGGATTCAACAACTGGTCCTTTTTCAGTTTTGGAACTGTTCTAGTTGTCTCTAGATGACTCGACTCCAGGCATAAACTCTTCATTCAGATAGGGCACTGGAGAAACATTCAAGTCAATCTCCTTTGGAATGGATGACAACCTGTGTTCAAGTACAGTGTCTGGCTTAAGAAAATTAGGATCCCCAGAAGATTTTTAATCTCTCCACCACGGCTCCGTTCTTGACCCATGCCAGCCTTGAGATCTTCCCTAGGTCTCAGACCTTGAATGGGGATTCGTGTTCAATGTCTGTTGCAGTCTTGCACTCTTGTTAGGCACCAGAACTGCCTTCATAGTCTAATTTTCCATTTGAGGATTTTCTACAAACATGCAAACAATGTTTATTCATGCGACCACAAAATTTCATATTTCAAGATAATGAAATGAAAAATCTCAGAAAAAACATTACCGATGCTATGTAGGCTTGTGCTACAATTTCAGGCCAGACATGTGTCAGCTTTCTCAATAGCAAGAGAACAGAGATTCTGCACATCACTGGCTACTGACCATGTGCCGACAATTCCATGCACCAATTTGGTTGAATCATTCACAGAACTCCTGTCTCCAACTCTTTCTTAGCTTCTGTAATAATTTGACCGAGTTCTTTAAATCAGGAAGTCCCTTCCAAGAGCCAGTAACTAAGGAAAATCCTGTAACCAGGGATATCTACACAATGATTATCCTTAGCAATAGTTACCTGCTTTTTACAGAATCTGCAAACAATATTCATACCACATGACCTCATTGAAAACCCAATACAATGAATTAAAAGTTACTTCTAGATGGACCTCTTCTTATATCTTAGCTTAAATTTAAGTCACACATGGAACAATATGCCCATCACTTGGAAATTTAATGGTAAGGCCATCATCCATTCTAACTACCGTTGAACAAAGATGCACATAAGCTTTTAATTGTAAGTGACTACTACGAAAATATGCATATCAAGACATGCATGCACATCCAGATGGTGACTACCAAAAGCGAACCTCACCCCCAGTTTAATGATGATCCTGGGAAACTCGTCTCCAAAGGAGTTACTTGGTGATTGCACTTAAAATGTAATTGTCTACGAGTGCAAGACCCCCACAATTGTACTCAAAAGTCTTCATTATTACACTTAAAATGTTAATATTCGAGTCATTTTCCTCCAATTTTTTCAACTTGTTGCCATCGTCCTCCTCATGTTCAAAAATATAATTATGCCCTACAATATTTTTGCTAAAGCCTATTTCGAGGATCTGACTAAAGAAGAGAGGTGGGGGTTCAAGCATTTGAAAAAACAAAGAAGAGAAGAGCTTACCAAAGTGTCCCAGAAACCTTGCCACATGAAGCACAGTAATATCCTCCATCCAACTGCATCAACTGTCCAAGATTAACANAGCATTTGAAAAAACAAAGAAGAGAAGAGCTTACCAAAGTGTCCCAGAAACCTTGCCACATGAAGCACAGTAATATCCTCCATCCACCTGCATCAACTGTCCAAGATTAACAACTCCCACCTTCCCACTTTGGAGGGCACATTCGACGTGGAAAGATAAGCCGCAAGAGTCCCCCGAACCAATTCAGACGTTCATTTCAACCAGATATTTGTATTCTTCTTGTTGTCAAAATAAATGACATATCCAACAAGAGGGCCTCTTGCAAAATTTATCGTTTAGTGAAACTGTTGCTCGACATGCAGAATTTTTGCAGATCAATGAATCAGGAAAATTAATATCAGCATATGGCTCTGTGGCTGGAAGAATTCTAACCGGGCTTTCCCTTTTCGTTGTTTCCTAGTAGGCAGATCCTTAGGACTGGAAGACGCTCTCTTGGGAGTGTCCATTTTCCTACAGACTTCTTTGCACACAAGATGAAAGAGTTGACCATCGGAAACTGCAAAAACAGTAATGATGGCATTACTAATAACATTGTAAATAGTAAAGGATACCCCCCAGGGAAGCTAAGTTACTCAACAGGTCATGAGGATCATCTAATAACATTCAATTGATGACAACCAAGCAAGAAGAGATGAAAAAGGCTGATAGAAACAACACATTTCAAATGTATTAAGAAACAGATTTTTTCCTATACTTATCTAACAAACCTTCAGCCAACTAATTTGTCATTTGTAATCGACTCCAAGATCATTTTAGTCATGGTAAGCACTAGGAAATCATCTCATATAAGTTATTCCTGCAATTGCAAAGAAGATTGGAGTATGCATCTTTTTTGGCTAAATTTTGACTTGTGGGTATGATTATTTAACATGATTTTGACTAGAGGGTTTTGATTTGATTAGGGCTTCATATTTCATAAACTTACAAGCACTGTATCCCCATTGGAAACTTCATTTTCCTTCCGGGATGTCCACTAATAGTACTCCGTTCCCAAAAATATCACTATATAAAATTAAATTATAAATCAACTATGTAACATGACAATGATTCCTCGCCATTAGTTTAAATCAAATACCAAATAATTCAATTCGCCCCTAGAACACCATGCCAGTTCGTTAGAGGATTCAAGTGTGGACAGGATAAGTGGCAGATATGACACTATTGATAAATCTACATATCTAGATCTTTGATGGGCAATTCGATTTGTGAATCTCTATGATATGCCTTAAGGATCACAATCCAATTTTTTTAGATAAAATAATTAGTAAGCACCAATATGCAACTAGAGCCAAAGTGACCGTATGACAAATACCCAACATGGAAACGTGCGAGGCACATGTCACATACGATGATGGAATATCCAATTTTTTGTGGAATATAACTCGTCGCTGACGGGCGAAGGCAAAAGGATTTAAAATAATCAAAACCAAAAAGGAAAAGGAGTCATACTACATGAGTTCTCGGAGCGTCCACGTGCCCTCTTGGTCCT